CAGAGGTCACCCCACCCAGTAAAAAGTCAGCATCAGCTGTGTACTTCTCTATCCACAGCTAAATCTAACTTCCTCGCTCAGGGAACTTCCCAATCAGTCTTCCATAACCATTCCTGTAACATATATAGGTTGAGTCTCTCTTTGGGCCTTAGAAATTCAAATCAATTTAAAGATTTTGCCTACTATTGCCTTGATGGTGTAGGTAACTTACACTGAAGTGCTTTTCCAATGGTAGAGGGTTAATTAGGACAAGGCAAGCCCTAATGAAAACAGAATCCACAATGCAGAACTTTGTAAACTGAAATGAGGGCATTTTACAACTTAAGTAAAGTATGTGGAAATTATATTGGCATTTTCTACTTTTATACAAAGGTGAGGTTCATATCCACTTGGAAATGTGAAGCATTCAAATGGTCAGTGTAAACCATACAGAAATTCCCACATAACTGGACTTTTTATGCATATACAACCTTTAACAACTGTTTCCTTAGATCTGTATGGATATATAGCAGAACCTCCATTATAAGCGCTTTGAGATGTCTGAAAAACATGATAAAGCGCTATATCAAATGCAAGGATTATTATTATTACTATTATTATAACAGTAGCTAGGTCCAGAAAATCTTCAGCAGAATTACAACAAGGCGTGATCACCAGTCAGTGCTTTCCTATTTCACTGTACACGCATATGCAGAAAGGTATCCGACTCCATTGGCTCTTCAAGTCCCAAACGACACTTTCAATGGTCAACACGTTCAGTCACTTCCTAAGACAGTGTACCTGAATCTTTTCTACACCAGCCTTTACTACTTAGAAACTAGTCTCCATCATGGATAATACTTTCAGCCTTCCCAAATGTTCCAAAAATTCCCATTTGGAGCCAGCTATAAGGATGTGTACAACAAGAACCCCTGTAGCTAGTTTCCACTCGGTACTTACCACATAAAGTTGGACTCAAATTAACAACTCTGATTTTGAGAACAATTCTCTCAGCAGTGGTGTTTTAGTGGGTTGCTTGGGTTTCAAAGAAATTTATTTGACTGAGATGTATGTATACATTTGATCACTCAATCCACAACTCTTTATAGAACACTGCTCTGCGCAATTGGCTATGTTTCACCCACAATATACATAGTCAATCCACTTTACAATATATTCTGTGAAGCATTTAATAATAATAATAATAATCCTTGCATTTGATATAGCGCTTTTCACGTCAGGAGGACGTCCCAAAGCGCTTCACAGAACACACTGTAAAGTGAATTGACTGTATATTTGTGGGCGAACGCGGCAGCCAATTGCGCACAGCAATGTCCCACAAACAGTCGTAGATTGAAAATGACCAATTTATTATTGTTTTGTTTTTTTGGAGGGATTATTATTAGGCGTGTGGAGTAAGGAAACTTGCCCAAGGTTTCGCCCTCTGCCTGGAATTGAACTCAGGTCTCTCACTTGCAAAGCGAGTGCTCTAACCACTGAGCTACAGGACTCCACTTGAGACTAATCAACGACATAAGGCGCTATATCAAATGCAAGGATTATTATCAACCCGTGTTAAAATATTGAATTAGTTACTAGATGAATTGGCATACTGGCATAAAACCTTCATTGTTGACAGGGTGTAAAGGTGTCGAGGGCAAATGGATACTGAATGCCAAACCATGAAGTCTTAACAAGGCGCCGTAAAGCATTAAAGATCATCAAGAATATCCTCTCTCAAATTCTGTCCGCTCCCTCCTCTTCCCACATAGGAGGATATCAAGGACTCCATTGGACACCTCCCCACTTGGCATACATCAGAAACAGAGCTGGGAGTAGATAGATATTCTCCCTCATGTCATGGCTCAGTGTCACGTCACTACTCCAATGCTCACTCCAGGTACCACTAAGTGGTCTATATAATGTTTATGCAAATATCACATTTGTACATCCCACATAGCTGGTTATTCAAATTCTGATGTTCATCTTTCATTTTGAAAGATAAGTTGTTAACAAAGGGGTATACAAACATTCCCACAAAAATAGCTCAACGAAACATGAGGCCTAACATTTGGCAAACTCTTAAGAAGCACTGCCTTTCAAATAGCCCTATGTTTACTTCACAGAAGCTTTTGTTACTTATGTCCATCAAAAACTCCACACAAGGTTTGGGTAATTTTGATGGTATTTACAAACGATCAGGGATACTTTTCTGCACACCATTATCTCCAATAAACACTGAGCACTTCACTAAAAACAATAACTGGAAAAGAGCTTAAAAATAGATCTTTGATCTGACATGAGTGTACAATATGTTATGCAAAATAAGACATTCAAAGACACTAACCAACAGATGCTTAACCATTAAATTTAATACTCACACTTAAAACTGGTTATTTCAAATATCCTGAGAATTTCCTTTTTCAACCCATTTTTTAGTGCTATCTGGATGAAAAACACTGCAATAATGATATACATTAAAGAATCTGCTGTCTGTCAATGGCAATTTGCCAGGCGACAGTACCTCACACTATTTTGGTGCTGGATCATTTAGTGGGAGGGAGCCTAGAATCTTTGGAATGCTTAAAGTGATGATACTGACACCAAGCTTGGGGAGTTGGCCACGTGGAACGTTATCGGAGTGGTAAACCAGGGAAGGAATATTTAAAGAATCTGAATACTTGAAATGTGCCACTTTAACACCCCAGTTCAAGCAAAGAGATGATCTTGAAATGGTCAATTCTGTTCCTTCCATCCCCACCACCCCATTACCTTCTTTTGTATCTGATGCAACTCTGTGTATTTATGGCGAGGGTTTATTTCTCATTGCTCACCACATGGATGTCAATACTGCAGGGCAATTGTTCCTTTCATTAGGTGAGATACATTGCTCATCTTTGGAATGGGATACTTTTAATCTAGAATGGTAATCCATTCTCATCCCATTCATTGTGGAAGCTTTATTCATTTTTTTCATTGCATTTTTGCTGCACTACTTTTAAAATGTTTCTCTTAAAGCAAGTTAACTGTGCACTAGGTCAAAGGAGACGCTTGACAAGCTACAGAAAACATTCTGCTAACAACAACAACAACTTGCATTTGTATAGAGTCCCAGAGAGTTTGTAGTAATCCTTGCTTTTGATAAGGTGCCTTATCACATCGTTGAGACGTCTCAAAGCGCTTCACAGAATATACTGTAAAGTGGATTGATGGCGTATTTTGTGCGCAAAACTCGGCAGCCAATTGTGCACAGCAGCGTCCCACAAACAGTTGTGGATTGAGTGACCAAATTATTATTATTACCCCTGGAAAAGCAATCGACCAATCGACAACAACCAGGGTCCTACGTACTGATAGGTAAACAGAAGTGTGCGGGGTAAGGAAAACTTGCCTTAGGTTTCGCCTGCTTGAGAATTGAACCAGAGTCCTCTCGCTTGCAAGGCGAATACTCTAAACCACTATGCTATGCATCTCCTTAATGTCAAACAAAAGGGAAAATGAACCCAGGGAGGGACAAATTGGAATCTTCAAGTATGGGGTAGGCAATAAAATCTTATCCTAAAAGTAATTGCAATTTAAAATGACTTATTTTGAAACAATTACTTGAAAAGTAGAAAAAAATTGGGGAAAGGAATTTGAGTACACAAATAGCTAGAATTAAATCTAAATATCAATGCACTGAATTCCTACAGAGGGCACCAAAGCACAAGGGAAGCAGCAGCAAATCTAGTGGTCAAATTCAGAACATTTTTAGATTAAACCAAATTTACACCTGGCAAGAAAAGGATTCTGGTTAGCCAATCTTAAAAAACAATTACCATGTCCCGTAAAGTAGCAGAAGAGATTGCGGGGTAAGGGTTGAATGAAAAAATTAAGCAGAAGAAGAAAATCTTTCAGATTTGCACGTTTCCACTTAAGTTTAATATCCACAAGATATATCTTTTTGAAAAGTGTATGCTATTGTCAACCTCAATCTAAAGGTAACTGGAGTGAAAGATGGCGAGCCCTACAACTTCTCTCCAATCACAAAATAACAGTAAAAAAAGTTTCCAATTAAAAGACTAAAGTGCAGACAAAAAGAGCAAAAAGATAGTGGACACGCTGTGTGAACTGCAATTCAGTGACTTCACCCTTCTCCCAAATATGTCACTGAAGTTCATTGAACTTAAAATCTCTGAACCGATTTCCAATAATTCAAAGTAGAAAATTCCTCTGTTAACTATATCAAAGTATTAAACAATTTGTTCCATTATTCCAGCAGAGACTTCCGGCATTGGTTTTCTTTGTCCAAAATTACCATATCTGTAGTGCATGTAAAACTACATCTCTTTTTAATGAGTTGATCTCAGAATTGTAAAACCGATTTTCCAAACAGAAGCTGGACAGCTGCAGGCAATGTTTAGCACTTGTTCTAAGTGAGTAGTTATGTAATGAAGAAGGCTCTGTTATAGCATCGTTTATAATCCCAAGGACCATTTTTTAAAAATAACACATCAACTGTAATATTCATAGCCAGAAGATGCATTCCATGTAAAATGGCCTTCTAAGTTTAATAAAGTCAATTTTTCAAAACATCTGTATTGTTAAACCTTTAACCCTCGTTCCTTCCTATTCAATTTTCTCACATATTATCTTCATATTTTCCTCCAAGTACAGTTTCCTAATACTGAATAAAAACCTTTTCAAACTAATGTTAGAATAAATCACTGGAGACAACAAAATCTGAGTCAGAATGGCATAATTTCTGAAACGACAGTAGAATCCTATCAGAGCAAGAATGATCAAACATTGTTCTTTGAAGCAGATACCAGATAAAACACTACAACTGAGCCCCCACATAAGGATTTTCAAGGATACATTTAACATTTCTTAATCAAAAACCATTTTGTACTCACTTGTTACAATCAAGTCTATCAATCAAATAATAGTCTTTTATTAATGAAAATGTCTGCACAGAAAAATATCAAATCATGCCCCGAATATTAAACAACTTCTTAAATAAATGTCTGAAAAACACTTACCAAGAAAGCAAGGTTGTCACACTTGATGCAACAAACTGATGCTGCTTCCTCCAATTATCCAAGATTTAGTCGACCACAAAATAGAAACATGTCCAACATAACTGCAAAGAGGCAAGAAAGGAATCTTATAATTATTTATAAAAAAAGCATTCCCTATTTAATCTACTTTATAATCTAAACAACACAAGCTAAAAGATAAAATTTCTACCAATAATCAGCCACGCACATGATACACCAGAGTTTCCAATTGCAGCAATGCAGGATCAAGGAGCTATTTGATCCAGATCACACATCATGGGCATATGTGAACTGTGAAAATGTGAAAGTGTGGTTGGCCTGTGAAAGCTGATGCTGTTGCTTGCTCCAAAGTCCTTTTTGAACTTTGGAGTGAGTAATGTATATATCAGGGTGGGACTCATTAAGCACACACACAATTCACTTTGCAGTGAATGAAAACAATATTAGTTACAGCTTAGTAATTACACCTTCAATTACAACCATGATTCTCTTTGCATTTTCTAACAAGTAATTCAGTAAATATTCCACTGCGTTTTTCAGGAAGTTGTGAACTTCAACTTAAATGGCTGTTTGTATTTAAAACAAATGTTTCACAAATTTCAAGGTTGCATTTTATTTCTCACCCAATCTTCTCTGCACTCCTGATCTATTTCTCTAGTACTAAATCTATAAATTACTTTTAATATGCAGTGATTTTCCAAAAATCTTAACACAAACAGTAGCTAAACAGCAGAGTAAAAGGGATAAACATTACAGTGAACATTAATGCCCTAAAATTACAGTTCCAAATGGCAAGCTAAGAAGATAATTTACCCAGTAAAAATCTCAGCAACATCCGTGTCTATTGATCTAATTAAAATAACAGAATTATGTTGGAGTCCCATCTGTATCTAGGTAAGAGCAATGAAAGAAGTAAATGAACCTTTTGTCTCAATATAATTGCAATCCCCTAGGGTGGTGTAATGGTCCAACCTTTTGACTGCTGAGGGACAGATCCCCTATGGAAACATCCACGGGCCACATTAGCAATATTTTTATGTTTCCCTTCCAGCAACATAACGTTTTTGGGTTATGGATGGAGCGGGTGGGCCAGATGAAGGGGACGGGGGGATGAAATTGGAGAGAACATCTTTTCTGAATATCATTTCTACAACCCAAATAAAATGCAGGAAGTCTACGTCAAACATGACCACACATATTCCAAGCCCGCAGCAGTGTCAAAACTGTTGGGATAATAAACCTTATTGCTGAAGCTTGGGAAGACATCAAACTCAGTTTGCAGCCAATAGCACAATATGTCCCATCAATAATTTGACTTTAATTTGCTGGGGAAATGTTCAAACAAGATGGAACGATGGCATCCAAGAGATATATTTCACTCTAGCTTCAAAATGGCCACACGTCAAATAAGAATCTTCCACAATAACCGGATCGCTTTTCCAGGTAATAATTCCTTCAAAAAAAATTGGTCACTCCATTCTACAACTGCTTGTGGGACACTGCTGTGCACAATTGGCTGCTGTGTTTCACCCACAAAATATACAGTCAATTCACTTTACAGTATATTCTGTGAAGCGCTTTGGACGTCTCGAAGACATGAAAAGACGCTATATCAAATGAAAGCATTATTATTACTATTATTACCTAGCGTTAAGTAGGAACCCAGTTGTCAGTTGATTGGCAGATCACTTTTCCGGGGGTAATAATTCCTTAAAAAAAACAATAATAAATTGGTGACTCAATTCACGACTGTTTGTGGAACACTGCTGTGTGCAATTGTCTGCCATGTTTCATCCACAAAATATACAGTCATTTCACAGTATACTCTGAAGCGCTTTGAGACGTCTTGAAGACATGAAAAGACACTATATCAAATGCAAGGATTACCATTATTACTACTATTTAATGGAATCCTCCAAGTGTAGCTGACTGAAATGTAGATTCTCAAAAATAACTTAAAATAAGAATACTTGTCATTGGGAAGGCAAATGCTTAGGAACACAGGGAACGTACAGATTTCAATTAACTTTCAGCAGGAAAGCAATCCAGAGCAGGAGACCAAAGATTGTATTGTATTGGTGAGTGCCAAATGCCATTTTTAAAAAAAAGTTATTGAAGAGTCAGTAGCGTGATCAACCCTTCAATACACACTAAATGGTCTTAAGAAACCATTTTTAAATGGAAGCTAAATCGATTTGCTCTGCCTGTACTGATACTGCAGCAATACAAATTGATTTCCTGGGAAAAATAATCTCGTCAAGCTGGTTGTGGTAAACAAGCTTCAGGGCAAATTGCTTTGGAATCATGTGCCCCAAATGATTTATACTTCATTTTTGGAGCCAATTTGCTAATGATAGCGTTTACACTCCAATGCAAAATGGATTCTTATTAACAATATGTAGGATAGGTATTCTGAAAGGATGAGATCAAATGGGCCAAAGGGCTATCTTCACCCAAACTCTTATGATCTTGTGATATGGTCAGGAAAAGTACAAGCAAGTACAGATGGAAAAAGGTATCCTTCAAAAAATATTCATGCAATGTTTAATAGAAAAAATGTAATACCCAAAAGCTAAAATGCCAGGGACAAAACTCGAATAAAATTACAAATGGATAAGGGCCTCAACTTGTACTGAAATTTGGATTTCCTGTAAAAATGGAATGTGAGAATTCTGACAGTCATTTGGGAAAGTAATTTCATCCATACTGAACCGCCCCTCTCATCTGTTCAAACAGAATAACATCTGTAAACCCTTAACAAAGAACAATGACAATAATATGGAGAACAACACTATGAAACAGAAGATATAATTTGCAACTGCACAAACAAAGAATTTTTAAACACTTAAGTCAATTATATACTCTGGCAAATCTACTTTTAAATTTACAGCAAAGCTTGAAATTAATGATGGTTTGCCGTACAGTGCAGGTCATTTAAATATAAAACCACTGAAAGGACCTCAGTAGACTTATGCAGTACACACTGGAAAAATTAGGTGCAACATGAAAAAACGCTCTGAGCCAGCCTATTGATCAACTTTATGGCAAGACTGACATGAAATTCATCAATTTCTTGATCTACAGGGAGTTTACCAGCATGCTTTTATGAAGGCAAAAAATAAATGGAGACAAATGAAAGAGATTCAGGAAGAGAAGAGATCCCAGAAGCCTCACTATTGGAACTGCAATGCCCATTAATAAAATCTAACCTAAACATCCTCCAAATACTCTTTTTTTAAAAAAATGATGCCGACTCTGATGGCACAAAACCTATGTGCAGAATATGAAATACTAGGGGAGAAGTGGCTTTGAGCCAAGACTGGGAATGAAGACACTACTCCAGAAAGGAAAATATTTACAGAAAATATTCAGAATATAAAAAAAACCTAGGATCTAATGCTTCACTGAAGATTTCCACAATTAAAAATTAGAAACACCAGTACGAAGTGTATTGAAAAGTCTAAGCAAAAACATTATGGCAGTTTTTGGTGCGGGATGGGGGGGGGGGGGGGGGAAGGCAGGCCATGTGGCAGAGCTGAAGCAAACCGGATTTGATCAGAGACCCTGTAATGAAGAAAGGAGCACATAGTATCAGATGTCAAGTTTGGGCACTCGTTTAGGGAGATATAATGATTCTTGCATTTGAAATTGTGTCTTAGGACATTGGCAAAACATCTCAAAGCGCTTCACAACAACAACTTGAATTTATATTGCACCCTTCAAACAGGGTAGTGTCCCACAGTGCTCACTCACACACTTAAAATCACAAGATTTCAATTTGCACTGAATTGTTCCACAAATAATAATAATAATCCTTGCATTTGATATAGCGCTTTTCACGTCAGGAGGACGCCCCAAACAAACAGCCATGAAGTGAATGACCAATTTTATTTGGGGGATTATTGGACAGGGCACCTGAAGAAATTGTTCTATTTTTGAATAGTGCTATGGGATCTTTATGTCCACTGGGACAGGCAGATAGGGCTAACTTACACCCCACTTCAGCTAACAGTTTTCCATTTTCTTCCCATTCTCTCTTGAATTTCACTAATTAAATGCACTAAAATCCTATTGTAACATTGTCCATAAATACTTTAACGGTATCCCTATCATTTTCCAGGTGGAATAGAATAAAAGTGGCATATCTGGCCTGTGATTGGCTGAACTGACTTCGGGAATAGTTTCTTCAACCAAATTCCAGAAGTATAAAGATTGATTTGATGGTTCAATAGACAAGATGCGCTAAATTTAAAGACACTAAAGACAGCAGGAATTTACCTGTGTGAAACGCAATGTAATTCTGTGAGGTTAGTAATGGCACTGGAAATGTGGTGAGAATTAGTCAAGAGGCAGTACCTGGAAAAAGGATGCCTTTGTGAGTATTTTTTTAAAAAACATGAAACTATTAAAATAAAAACATCTTTGTTAAATGCATTTCCAAGGGGCCGAGTTTCTGTCAGACAATATTTATGAATAGCATGTGGAAAACTTCTGAAGGGGCATACAACTAACTTGCCATTGCAGCAATTTTTGTTAGTAATGATGGTTCCAGCACCATGGGATGTCCTCCCGACGTGAAAGGCACTACACAAATGTAATCTTGTTGTTGTTTGGCATGAGAAATGCAGAAACAATAAACAACCTATTAAGGAAAACTAGGTAAACCTGTCCTGAAATAGCAACTGGAGGAAAATGACTAATTTTAAAGGTATTAAACTTTGAGGTGCACAAATAAAAATTAAGCACCTGAAGCTAAAAATGTAGATTGGCCATTATAACCAAGATGGCAAAGCAGTATAAATGTGTTAGTTCAAGGAACAGGGACTATAGATTCCTCACTCGCAATCCCATACAACATTCCTGCGAATGTATTTACGTGCTGCTAAAATCATGACTTCACGTTCTGGCTAAAACACACATAACTGCACATTTCTGATCTCAACATCAACTGATGTCAGGTAAAAAGCACCAGCCCGCTTTGCCAAGTTCTTAGCAATTAAAATGCTCTTAAAATGAGTGGGGGGAGCTATATAAATGCAAGTTGTTGTTATGCTGTATTGTTCCAAGTAGGACAGAGCATGAA